TTTATTTGTATATTTATTTATTTATTTATTTACTTATTTGTTTGTTTGTTTGTTTATTTGTTATATCTTTAGAGCCATTAGTGCGACTACTTTTTGCTGCGGATGTGGTCGGACGAGTCGCCATTTTTTTTTTTTTTTATTTATTAGACGTCATATATCAAATAAAGGGTGCAAGAAAGTGCATTTTTTAATTCTCCTCTTTTTCGCATTTGTCATAACACGATGATAATAATACGTTATTGTATACGTAAGTTCGTATATATATAAATATATATATACATAAACACATATATATATATATATACATATATATGTATGTATGTATGTCAAGTCATGCTTATGTATCTCAACAAATTTTCGCCTTCTTGTGGAACACTAACACATAAGAGTTTATATATATATATATATATATATATATATAAATGTGTGTACAATCCAGTGTAAAGAAAAAAGGAGTTACGGGGGTCGCTGATTTGAATTAATTAAAAGAGCGTTATGGTGTACTTGATAGTTGAAAAAAGCTTATCAAAAGCTTTTCCCTTTTTTTTTCTTTCCTTTTCTCAGCGCCGAAAGACAAGGGAGGGAGGAAGAAAGAACGGAAAAGGCTTCTTCCTCCTTGAATCGTCCTAGCTCTTCAATGGCCGATAATAGTAGAGACATACATATATTTCGCTGAGCTCGACGACGAGCAGGCTCGGAGTAAAAGAAGATGGTGGTGATGATGATGATGATGATGACGATGATAATGATGATGGTGATGATGATGACGATGATGATAATGATAACGACGATAATAATGATAATAATGATAACAATGATGACAATGATGATGGATATAACGACGAGGACGAAAAATTTGAGGAAGAAGAACGCATCGTAGTCATAGTAGTCATAATAAGAGAAATAGTTAATAGTTATAGTAATAGTAGCATTGGTAGTAATAGTATTAATAGCAGTCGTAATTATCGTAGTCGTCATCGTCGTCGTCGTCGTAGTCGTAGTCGTAGTCATAGTTGTCGTAGTCATTGTTGTTGTTGTTATTGTTTGTTGTCATCGTCGTCGAACGTGAAAAAGTTCAAATGCCGATGTGATCCCTCCGTTCATTGAATCCAATCGACGTTAGAAAAAAATTTCGCGAGTTTACAGGACGCATTTTATACCCAAGAATCACCTGCCGATGCCGCTGTTGAACTTGGTGGTATACTAACGGTCGCATTTCCTGATGTCCCATCTTGGACACCGATGGAGACGCCATCAGGCATCCACTGAGTGGTACCTGGCGTACCACCAGCTCCACCAGTAACGCTCGATACCGTACCGACCGGTCCCTGATTCTGACCACCGACAACACCAACACCACCAATACCAACACCACCAACACCAACACCAACACCAACACCACCACCACCACCACCACCACCGCTACCGGCGCCGCCTCCGCCACCTCCACCGCCACCGCCCTGGCCCACCCCCAGCTCGTATTGCCGCTTCTTTTTCTTCTCCAAGTTAACTTGCGCGTAGAGCGGCTCACCGGGTTTCGGCTGCTGCAACATACACACAAGCCAACGGTTAGTATACAAGCTCTGGGGGGGCTTTTTACTCTTTTTTTTTGTTTGTTTGTTTATTTGTTTGTTTGTTTATTTGTTTGTTTGTTTCCTTGCTTGGTTTTAGTTTGTTTTTGGTGTACATATATATATAGTTTTTTTTTTATTATTTATTTATTTATTTAGTTATTTATTTATTGATTGATTTATTAATTAATTAATTAATTAATTAATTTATTTATTTATTTATTTATTAATTTTTTTTTAATTTAATTTTTCATTCATTTCCTCTCTCTCTCTCTCTCTCTCTCTCTCTCGTTTTTTTTCTACTATTATTTTCTATTTTTTTTTCTTATTACTTCTTTTTTGCGTTCTATTTTTCTTTTATTTTATTTGTTTTTTCTACTTCGTATTGTGTCATGAGTGAGAACGGAGGGGGTGGGAGGACCCGATAAGTGCATCGAGAAAAGTGCATTGATATGAAATTTCTTTTTTTTTCTTTTTTTGTTATTTTTTACTTTAGTTCTATTTTCTCTCTTTTCCTGTTTTTCTTTCGCTTTTTTCTTTCTTTTCTTTTAAAAACTTTCGACAGAAACAACTTCTTATCCTGATCCATGGCAGGGACGGCATTTTTGTCGCGGTGGTAGCGAATGATCCAACTCGTTTGACGTACCTCATCTCTCTCTGAATTTATTTATTTATTTATTTGTTTATTTATTTATTTATTTATTTATTTATTTATTTATTTATTTATTTATTTTCTTTTTTATTTATTACGAATCTATAAACGCGATCGATATTATCTCATGACCGATACTGTTACATAGATCATTTTACATATTTAAGATTTATATATATATATATATATATATATATATATATATGTCCGAGATAAAGTACATCTAACGATTTAAATCATATATTATTTTAATCATTCTATAAATTATGTTTGCATTAATCACGGATTATCTGCATTGATATGTTATTTTGTTTAACGATTAAGATTCACGATCAATCTGTATATTCTTTCATTTACTTACATATCTAGCAAAGAAATTATTCGAAATGTATTAATAAAGAAACGATGTGTGTGCGTGTACGAAGTCGAAATTATAATTATATTTTTTTTTTTCTTTTTTTTGTTTCTTTTTAACTCATCCATTTCTTTTCTTTCTTTTTTCTTTTTCTTTTCTTTTTCTTTTTCTTTTTCCTTTATCGAACGACGATCGAACAACTATCATCAATACATGCATACAATAATAAAACAAAAAGAATACACATATAAGAGTAATGTATTGGTGTATCATCGTTCGTTCGTAAAAATCACATACAATGATAATAATTTTATATCCATACAAATGTATTTCTAGATCATTATAAATATCATTAAATATATAATGTTTGCTTATTGTTTATTACAAAAATGAATTCATTCGATCGTACGCTCAATGAATGAATTCATTATATCAATGAAATTTAATTACGAGATTAAGATTTTTCTATTACGATTTGTATTGAAGAGGACAGATAATATGAGAACTTAATAAAAGTGTATTTTATAATAATTATCACATTGGTGGGGGAGGGGTGGGGGGGGGGGGGCGCGGGATAAGAGAAAAAGAAATTAAAAATTAAAAATTAAAAAAAAAAAAAAAAAGAAATCCTTTGTAACACGTTGGCACTTATTCAAAAAAAAAAAAACAATTCTATAAAATATACATCCTATTTTATAGGGTCGGTCAATCGTATGTATTATATATATATATATGTATATATATAATAATGAAAAAAAAAAAAATAAATATATGCATGTATGCATGTATATATGTATGTATACTATTAAAACTTTCTTCGAGTATAATATCATTCTCTTTTTTTGTTACGTTTATAATTGCCAAGTATGATTATAATATATTGGCTAAATTTTTTCTTATTTCCTTCATCGTTTCCTTTTTTGTCTCCCTTCTTTTTCTTTGTTTTTTCTTTTCTTTCTTTTTTTTTCTTTCTCCATCTTCTTTTCTTTTTTTTTTCTCTTTTTTTTCTTTTCTTTTTTTATTCAATATCATACGCTCATATATATATACATATATATACATACATACATACATACATACATATATATATATATATATATATATATATATGTGAGTGTACGTATAAATGTATGTATGTATCTATATATGTATATATAAAAAAATATCTTCATATATAACGCACTAATTATATAATTAATTAATTAATTACGCTACTGCATATCATTACTTACAGATTGGTAAATAGTAGGTCGTCCAACGTTATTAGAATTAATATTAGCTCTTTGAATCGTTCGATCTTCGTATCTCGTACTACCCTGGCTCGCCATTGGTCGATTCAATGTGCTACAATCATAGCTAAATTTAACGTGGTATAAACGTTTCTAAATATTATATTAGGGGGGGAGGACTCTGCGTAAAATTTAACGAGAACAAAAGAGAAGAAAGAAAATGTAAAGAAAAAAAAATAAAAATGAAAATAAAGAAGAAAAAAGAAAAAAACAAGAAAAGGAGAGGGGGGAAAGAAAAAGAAAAAATCGAAACAAATCAAAAGCAAAGAAAGAAGAATAAAAATCATCGAGAGAATTTCTCAATTGTATTTTATAAAAACTGAATAAAAAGCAGAGTCCCAGAACTAAAAATTAATTAACAGAGAATACTTTAACTACAATATATTAAACAAAAAAAAAAAAAAAAGAAAAAAAAAAAAGAAATCATAAGATGTATCTCTGATGGTATTAACGATTTCGTGATAATCGAATACCTGTTGGCATTATTTGGCGAATTGGGTCCGGAATTTCGAGCTGCTACAGTTTTCGTAACAAAGTCTTGTTCCTTCCAACCATGTTTCTTATAAACGTCTCGTAATTCCTGATGTTGCCACATAGTAAAGAGAACTTGTCCTAGAAAAGAAGAAAAATGAAATATAATAAAACTGAATGATCGTGGTTCTTTTTCTTTTTTTTTTTATTTATATATTTGCTCTTCTTTTTTTTTTTTTTTTTTTTTTTTTTTTTTTTTTTTTTGTAAATCATTTCATTAAATCAAATCAAATTAATCTATCGCTATGAATACGAATCTCTCTTTCTCTCTCTCTTTTTTTGTTTTCCTCTTTTCTTTCCTTTTCCCTTTTTCCTATTTCTTTTTCTTATTCTTTTACCTGCAAACTTGAGAACACGTGGTGTATATTTTTGACGTTGTCGAGTTATATTCATAAGCCTGTCGACACCACCGGCGTCCAATAACGATCGTGAAAATTCGGCGTTCTTTTTGATGACCTCGTTCAAAGTCGCAAGCACTGCTGCTATCGTATCGTCGCTCGTCCCCTGATCATGCTGATTATTTCCCGAGGGTAACTTCTGAATGAGATCTCTCATCGCATATTTACCAATTAGCTCCTTATTGCGCTGATCTATCGCGAGATTTCTCAGGGCAGTAGCTACTGCACACACTACTCGATCCACCTAGTGCGAAGGAAAAACAAAAAAAAAAGATTAAAAAAGAAAAAAAAAAAAGAAAATTACAGGTCAATTCGTTTGATATTAAATTAATTTTTGTACGTATAAGTAAATATAAAAAGAAAGGATAAAAGAATGAAAGAAAAATATTGATATAATGTGGAAGTTACAGTATTATTTATATTTCATATAATTATTATAACTTCTATATATATATTTATGTGTGTGTGTAATTATTATACTGTAATATTATATTATAGTTATAATATAATATGATATGGCACAGTATACAATGTATATAGTAATAATAATAATATATTAATATTAATACTAATACTAATAAGTATACAATCAGACTTATTATTATTATTATTATTATTATTATTATTATTATTATTATTATTATTATTATTATTATTATTATAATATTATTATTATTATTATTATCATTACATTACTTATAGCAGTATAATTTATAGTATAATCACACGTTATAATAATATTTATATTATATTAATATTTATATTAAATAATATTTACATTATAATATTAAATTAAAATTAAATTAGTATAAAAATTTTGGATATTTTGTGTAAATTAATTTGAAATGAAATGAAATTATTCTAGTAATTTAAGATTAAGATTAACGCATTTTTTTTTTTTTTTTAACACGGCTTTATAGAATAAATTAATTAAATAAATTAAATAAATAAATTGCAGGTGTCCTCCTCCTGCAGGTAGATACATACCTCCATCCTTAACAATTCGACTAAAATAGGAAGGCCCTTGTCCTTCCGTACAGCTGCACGAATTTCAATGCTCGGTTGCCAGTAACAAGCGGCGAGATTCTGCAATGCTCCTGCCGCAGCTTCTAATGTTTCCGGATTAGAACATGTCTGTAAAAGGCTTAAATAAGACTGAACGACTTCCGGTTGCCAGAGTAACTCCATCCCTCTGACTGGTTCCGTTCTTGGGCTCGTCGTGCGTGACGTTGCGTTCTCCTTTTGAACCGGTTGTCCGTCCTTCTTCTTTTTACTACCACCAAAGCAACCCAAATTTTCACCTATGAGAGAGAAACAATAAAAAAAAAAATGAAAAAAAAAAAAAAATAAATAAATAAATAAATTTAGAAATCAAAAGGAATATAAAAATAATATATATATATATATATATATATATATATATCGTATGGTATCGTCGTCCGTACGTATCGTATGAAATATGATCAAGTATTATTATCTGATATTGACTGCCATATTAATGTCAAAGACAGACAGACAAACAGTCAGACAGACAGACAGGACAGGACAGATACGTACGTACGTAGTTACGCACACAAACAAATCTTTATCAACGTCACGTGAATATTTCATTCGTACGAATGAAATATGAGTGATGCGAACTAATTTGTCATAAGAATTTGAACGTAATCATTAGCGATTCATTCATTCTTCTTTTTTTTTTCTTTTTTTTTTTTTTTTTGTTCTTTCTCTTTTCATTTCTACGTGCGGCTATTATTTATTGGATCAGTATTTTTTTTTTTTTTTAAAAAGGTACGTATAATTTATTAATCGATCCATATGCAAACGATTTATTTAAGAAAAATACGTGTCATTATTGATAATTGATAGTTAAAAAGAATACCGATCGAATAAATGTAAATGCTCTTCTATCTTTTTTTTCTTTTATTATTATTCCTTTTTCTTTTTTTTTTTTTTTTTTTTTTTTTAAATCTTTTCCACAGCCTTCCCAACAAAAATAATACCTATCTGCGATATCGCACTTCTTTTTTTATCAACAATGTTAACAAATATCAATAATCGTATTTACATTAGAGCTATTATTATATTTAAGAAAAAAAAAAAAAAATTCATGCATTCGATTGCAACGAAGATATGCAGTTTCTACGCAGATAGATGATTCATTTCCTTCGATACTACATTATGAATGTATGTATGCATATATGTATGTATGCATGTATGTATGTATGTATGTATGTATGTATGTATGTATGTATGCATGTATGTATATATGTACATTGCCATTTAACTGAAAGCCAACTGAAAAAAAAAATACATCGAAATACTGCCTGCACTATGCCAATAATTATATTTTTAAACAACTTTCGATTAATGCATAGCTCGAATCATTTATATCGTTCGAATCTAATAAAAGCACGGCCAAGCTTTGCAATTTTATTTATTTATTTGTTTTTTCTTATTTTTTTCCTTTTCTCTCTCTCTCTCTCTCTCTTTCTCTCTCTCTCTTATTTTATTTTATTTTCTTTTTTTTTTTTTACGAGGATATAAAAATTGCCATGAAATATTAGTAGCATGAACGTTTGCAAACGAATTTCGCAAAGTGCATATACACGAGGTAGACCAAAATTTATTAGGTTTGTGCGATTTTACGATCTGAGAACGAAAAACAAAACAAAAAAGAAATAAAAAAAAAAAGAAAAATAAAGACAAAGAAAAGAGAAGAAAAGAAAAATAAATAAGAAAAAAAAAAAGAAGAAAGAAAAAAGAATAAAGATAATGAAGACGAAAAATAAAAAAGGGAAAAGGGAAATAATAATAATAATAATAATAATAATAATAATAATAATAATAATAATAATAATAATAATAATAATAATAATAATAATAATAATTAGTCAAAAATAAACGTTAGATAAAAGAATTAATCAATTTGTAAAAATCAGCTTGAAACATTTTAGTAGCCCACCCCTTCGCGTATACGTACGTACGCGTAAATGTAATTTTTTTTTCTTTCTTTATTTTCTAATAAAGTTGCTCGTTTAAGGAAAAAAAAATGTTTTTTTTTCTTGTTGGTCGTTTGAAAAAAAATGTTCTTTTTTCTCGTAGCTCGTTTGAAAAAAAATGTTCTTTTTTCTTTTATTTTTTCTTTTTTTTTTTTTTTTTTTTTTTTTTTTTTAAATAAAATTAAAACGATTCATTATTGAAAATATTTTCACTCTCTTTCACTCTCCCTCTCTCTCTCTCTCTCTCTCTCTCTCTCTCTCTCTCTCTCTCTCTCTCTCTCTCTGTCTCTATCTATCTATCTATGTATCTCTTTCTATTTCCAATATTATTTGTGCAACATAATTTTTCTTTTTTTCCTTTTTTCCTTTTTCTCTTCTTTCACCACCTATATAACTTTCCAATTAGTCAGTTATTAGTATGAATTTAATAATTGAATTATTTCAATATTTCGATTTTCGATAATACAAAACGTTTTATATACTCGATGACAGTTACAATAATTATCGAATGAAAAATCCATTGATACTTTAATCGTAACGCCGTTGTTATTATTATTATTATTATTTTTGTTGTTGTTGTTGTTGTTGTTGTTATTGTTGTTGTTGTTGTTGTTGTTGTTGTTATTGTTGTTATTTACGCGAAAGCGAAGTGCATACTCAAAAACAATTAGCAATTAGCCGTCTATTCTTCGATTTAAAGAGGTATTATTTATTTTGATTAATTATTCGCTTCTCCGTTACGTTGAGACGAATAAATACGTTTGCGTGGTGTTTATCGATTGCAGATGTGTTTTATAATGATAATAATAAAAAAATATATATAAATAAATAAATAAGTAAAAATTAGCAATGACAATAAATAAATAAATAAATAAATAAATAAATAAATAAATAAATAAATAAATAATAATAATAACAACAATAATGCAAAATATGATATATAGCTATGTCTTTTTTCAATGTGATAATGTTACTAAATTATATCTAACGATGATATATTACATATCGAATTTCTAATGTAATAAAGAGTTTACTTTTGATATTTACACGGCCCAATAAAAAAACAAAACAAAACAATAAAAAAAAAAAAAAAAAGAAGGAAAGAAAGAAGAAGCAATAAAAAAATTTCGATCAGATACTTCGAAATTTAAACCTATTCTTGGGTATGTTTAATTGGCCAATTTCAAAAATAATAGCACTTTTATAAATAGCCATCGTATCAGCTCTAATTTTCGAGATAGGACGAATAATAAATGGGACAAAATGTTATTCAGAAATTGTAATAATTAATAATAATAATAAAATAAAAAAAGAGAAAAAAACGGAAAAGAAAAAACTACGTTTTTTTCAAGACTTAGATATATAACATCGCGTATATTTCTAATGCATAATAATAATTCAATTTTAAAATCTAATACGATCAATTAATTTTAATCGTTTTATAGTATTAAAGGTCATGAAACTTTTATGAACTTTTATTATTTATACTCCGTTATTATGTCATATCATAAAAATTATAGCTGATGGAGCAAAAAAAAAAAAAAAAATTGTTATCATTATTCTTTTTTTTTCTTTTTTGCAAATAAAGCGCCCTAAATATATCCAAGAATACAAAATTAATTTTTTAAACACGAATAATGTATGTTTGGGCAGTGTTATGCAATGTGTCACTGAGATAACATTGAAATATTAATAAAACTCGCAATATAAAGAGCCATGAGAAAATAAACATAATTCATAATTTCACTAAGCGAGGCATACATTGTATGTGTGCGTATGCATATATATGTATATATATATATATATATATATATATATATATATATATATACACGCAATGCATATATACATATATTTAAAGGAAAAAAAAAAGAAAATAATAATTATTAATCTAATTTTATACCTATATGAAATTACAGTAATGTCTTACCTTGGCATAAACTGTATGCTATAAAAAAAAAAAAAATTGAATTTGAAGATTTTTAATTCATGCCAAAGTCGAAAAGGATATTGTTCCTTAATCCTATTAGTCCTGACAATTAAGTGAATATTTTTATAATAATAATAATAATAATAATATTTAAAAAAAAAATAATTAGAATAATAATAATAATAAGAATAACAATAACAATAATAATAAATAAATAAATAAATAAATAATATTATACTTATATTATTATTATTATTGTACGTTAAGATATTTTAGAAAAAGTATATATACATATGAATAAAAAAAAAAAAACAAAAAACAAAAAACAAAAAAAATCACACAGTGTCACGTGATGGCTGTGTAACGAGTAATCATGTAAAACAATATTTTTTTTTTTTTATGTGTGTCAATTCTTCGTTCGTTAATTAAACCTACAGAAAAAATCTCTCTATCGCTATCGACACACGCTTATCTAAAAAAAAAAAAAAAAAAAATGTATTAAAAATCAAGAGTGCACTTACACTTTTATTTTTTTTATTTTTTTTTTTTTTTTTTTTTTTTTTTTTTTTTTTTTTTTTTTTTTTTTTTTTTTAAGAAAAAATTTTTTTTTCTTTTTCCTTTATCCTGCCCCCCACTCCCTTTTTTTATTCCAGGGATATACAATAATGTATAGAATATTACAAATCTATTAGAAATGAATAATTCATTAATCGTAGTGACACTTTAATAGAATCATAAAATATTATATTGAAAGGACATGATTCATCGTTATAACTTTTTTTTTTTTCTTTTTTTTTTTACTCGCAACTATTATCACTAATTTCTATGCTACACGTCAAACACATTGATGTCTACATATTTATCAAATTTTTCACGTTGTTAAGAAAATATTTGAAATACTTGGTAATACTATATATACAAGATGTATTGTTTAAAAAAAATAATACAGCCGAATATCTCCTATAGATTCAATTGATTTAATAAACATGAATGTTTCAAATAAAAGTTTTGAGAGAAAGAGAGAGATGTAATATTTATTGTAACTATTTTGTAGAGAAACAATATTGTCAAGATACGAATGTCATAACAATGGTTTTTTTTCTTTTTTTTTTTTTTTTATAATAGAAATCGATATTTTAAGCCTAATAAAAATTGTATAGAATATCAATACGAATCTAACGAGCATCCATATTGTTACTTTCAATCGATACTTCATCAAGTTATAGCGCTTTCAAATTTAACAAGCTACGTAATAACAATAATGTTCCTTTATCACTGTTGAAAATCATTTACGCTTTTTAAATGATTGCAATAAATAAATTAATAAATAAAAAGAAAAGAAAAGAAAAAAAAAAAGCAGAAAAATAAACAAGAGAAAAAAAATTGTTCGTTTAATTTATTAATTATGAAATAATTACAAGAAAATTTGATCGCATCATTGCAATTACACATCGTATTACTGTAATTTCTTAAATGTCAAAGTGTCATAATAGCACAGATTGAAAAATTAATATTACAGTGTAAATTGCTCGTTCGATTTATTATTAATATTCTTTAAAACTTTCGTTCAAAGCTTATAAATATGGATTTACGTTTAATAAAATTTATTTATGACTTTTCGTTATCTTAAAAATGGCCGTACGCTGTACAAAATAAACAGCAATATATATTAAACGTTGCCTATTAAAAATCTAACAATTTCATTCATAAGAGATATTTGACCGTATCGATTAAAAAAATGAATGAGTCACCCTGTATATACGAGTGACCATTTTATACGAATATATTTAAAAGTTATTAACTAATTAATTATTTCCTACAACTTGTGCTACCTATAATTTGTATATATTATATTAAATGTATTAATAAGTGGATTTTATTTCTACTTTTCTTTTGTTTTTTTTTTTTATTTTTTTTTTTTGTCTTCCTTTTACACATAATAATTATAATAATTTAATAAGAAGTAAAAAAAAATAAGAATTTTATATAGATATATTTATATAAATTTAATACATGCATGTCTTGTCACGTGACATTTATGGAAATGTCCATGAATTAATAATGGACATAAAGGGGGAGAAAAAAAGAAACGGACAATTTCCTTTTACTATTTTTTCCCCCTTCTTCTTCTTCTTTTTTCTTAAAGAAAAAAAAAAAAAGAAGAAAAAAAAAATGCAAAAATAGTAACACGTCAGATTGGTTCTCACCTTTCACCGGTGCTGCAACTCTGTTCTGCACGGCCGACTGTATCGGATGTTTGTCGTAATTCGGGTCCTCAACTTCCTGACACCGATAACTTAAATTTCTTAAGATGCAGACGCAATTTTCCACTATTTTATTACCAATGTTCGACTTTTCGATAGCTGAACGCACTACGTATAAAAGGGCATCCACAAGTCCGTCACATTCCCTTAACTTCTTTCTCGCGTATTCTCCAGCACTAGAGACGTTTCTTAAAACACCCGATGCATTACGAAATACCGTAGACCAACATGTTTCACCGCTCGAAGAACTTGGATCCCAACCGCTATGAGGTATTATTATATTCTTCACTACCATCGTCACCCCGTCGTCGATGATCGATCGTTTCAAATCCTGAAAATATTTATTTCATTTAATTTAATTTAATTTAATTTAATTTTATTTTCTTCTTCTTCTTCTTCTTTTATTATTTTGATCTAATCGAAACGAACGAATGCAACAAAGAAAAATATAATAATTATTCGTTTGAATCAATTCGATATATATTATACAAACAATAGTAATAGATTA